GAGCTAGGGCTAGGAAAAGGATTCTTTACACCAAAGGCACCATCCGTCAAAGGAAAAAACTGATAAACTGGAGCCCATCAATATTACACGTGTTTGCTTTGCAAAAGACCCCGTGTTCAAAGGATGAAAAAAGGAATTGCGCCCTGGGAGAAGACGTTTGCAAACCATATCTGGCAAAGAACTTGAATAAAGAACTCTCAAAACTCACTTAAAACAGTGACGACACCAAATGCTGGTGAGGATGCAGAGAAACTGGGTCAACGTGCATCACCCATAGGAATGTATAATGACACACCCACTCTGGAAAATGGTACGGAGCTTTCTTACAAAACTGCACGTGCACTTCATACAACCCGAACTACTTAGAGCGAGCCCCCAGACGTTTTCCCCAACAAAGCCAAGGTTGTGGCTGGACCAGCCTGTCTGGTTCTTACGGTTGCAGGACGCACTTCAGCAAAAGCCATCAGGGAACTTTGAGAAACGAGGTTTATTACTCAGTCCTAGAGGGCACTGCATGCCCGAGGGCCACACAGCGAGGCCAAGGAGAGTGACCGTGCAAACGCATGTGCCTGGGGCACTGCCTCTATTGGGGTTGACGCTGAGGTGCCTAGGGTTTCAAGGGTTCACTGTTTCTTGGCTACTTTGAGGCTTAAGAGTGGGAATTAGGCTGTGGGAAGGGTAAAGCAAGGTCCTTCACGCAGTCAGTTTATCTAGGCTGCCAGGGCTTTCTGAAAGAGGAACCTTATGTACAGCACACACCATATTTCTGACAATTAAGATTAAAAATAGAATGTAAAATAGCTCATGAGTAACTTTTATATAGATTATATGCTGAAACACTACTTTTGCTGTATTTGGTCAAACAGACTATTCTCAAAACTTTTCAAAGTGACTACTGAACACTTTAAATTACATATGTGGCTCAGCTGAATTCCCACTGAAATCCAAAATTTGGAGGATAAGAAGACATTGTCTACAAAAAAACAAAAAAAAACACTATAAATATAAACACATACATAGGTTAGAAGGGATGAAAAAAGAAATTCCATGCTAACACTAACTTTTTACTTGGAGCGGCTGCATTCACAGGATAACCTACACTTCAGGACAAAGAAGAGGACTACAGACAGAGGGATATTTCAGAATTATAAGGCATCATTCACCAAGATGACACACTACTCCTACGTGTGTACGCACCTAATATCAGAATCAAAAACCACTAGGGACAATGGAAAATTAGTTCCACAATTAAACATTTAAGTACTGCTTTCAGTACGTAAGAGCGGTACACAGAAATCAGGAGGATGGCTGTGCTCCTGAAATTGCTAACAACCAACAGCATCACCAACTTGACCTGATGGACATTTACAGAACACTCCTCCAGCCAGCAACGATGGGACATGTTCTCTTCAAGGGCACGTGAAACCGCCACCATACTGGAGCATAAAACAAGGCTCGATAAATCTAAAAAGAAAGGAATCAAAATATATCGAGACCACAATGGAATTAAAACCAGAAATCAATTTTAAAAATCTGAAGAAAAAACATCCAATGTTTGGGAATTTAACCACACTTCCAAACAGCCCATGCAGCAAAGAAATCACAATTGAAATTAGAAAGAAAACTGCATGGCAACACGTACAGAACTCAAATAACAGTACTGCAGGAAAAAAATCCACAGCATTCTCTCTACATTTACACTAGAAAGCTCTCCCAAGACAGTCCGTCGCTAGCTGTTGGCAGGAGGCCTCAGTTCCCTGCCACGGTGATCTATTTGCAGGCCTGAATGTCCCCATCACCGTGTGCTGGCATCCCGCCGAGCGGTGATCCATGCTTTGTTAAGGCGACTTTGCTGAGAACACGGTCAAGGTTAAGCCTCGACACGAAGTGGGCCGCTTCACTGGCCCGCACACAGCAGCCCATAACTCCAAGTCTGCCCCATTGCAAAGTTAAACCTCAAAGGCTGAGCACGAGAATGTACCGAGTTCTACGTTCTCCATTCACGGTAGGGGTTGAAATGAACGAGGGTGGGCAGCGCTGTCCAAGTACCTGCAGGCCAGCAAGGGCCCTCCCGAGAGAAACGCTTACGCGTGTTCCAGAACAGTGACCAGTTCGCTCCCCGCAGCCCAAAAGTGGGAACTACTCAAATGCCCACGTGACAGTGGGGTGAGCGCGCTGTGGTGTTTTCACACGAGGGAGCAGTGAGAGTGAACACCACAGCCGTACACAACAGCATGAGAGGCGGCAAACCAGCGTGTTGGATCAGCCTGGCCTGGGGGTAGGGGTGGGGGGTCGGCGGTAACTGCCAGGAAGGAACCTGGGGACCACTCTGCTGTTGCTGAGCGTCCTGGCTCTGGCCGGGACTGTTACCCATTCCAGGCACACTTGCCAGCCATACACTAGGATGCAAATGAAGGAACAAAACCACTTCGAATTCACAACTGTGGTGACCAGGTTTTTAAAAAATCAGTAAATGAGCCGGAACAAAGCCCAAGGAACCTCCCCAAACACAAAACACACAGACACTGAGAATGGAAGGAAAATAGAGATAAGTAAAGGGGTAAGAAAGCCAACTCAACTCCTCAGCCCCCATGGCTCAACAGACAAACCGAAAGAAGCTGCTTTTCTAATCAGATGACGATGGACCGGTCTTCTCAAGGCAAAGCCACGGAGGGAAGCAAGGATGCTGCTGCTATGGGTAAAGAGGTAAGAGACGAAAACCCAGGAAATCCAGCAGGTGGCTCCTCACGGGTCTGGGTTCCGCCAACCATAGGAGAATCTTCGGGACAACCGGGGGCACATGAGCAGGAACGGTTCCTAAGTCAGGCTTCCAGCGAGAATTCAGCTCACACTCACCTGAGATTTGTTAAGGTCCTTTGATGGAGACGCTAGTTCCAGAGACGCGGACGGGGTTTCGGGACCAAGAAGCCACGTCTGCCCCTGGGGCTGGGTGGAGCCAGGGCCCCCAGGAGGCGACAGTCCCAGAGGGAGGCAGCCCACGGGAAGGCCGCTGCCTCCCTCCCCCCCGCCCCCGACACCTGCTGCCGGGCCCCCAGCGGAGCCCCGGGAACGGAGGCACGGATCACCCGAGTGGGGCGGGGCTGCGTGGGAGAAGCAGCAGACCTGGCCTGACCACAGTCACAGTCAGCCTGTCAGTATAGCCGGACACGTGCGCGTGTAGCTTCGATCAGAACGCAAGTAACTTTAAAGCAACCCCCGGAAAGCCGGGAGATGTTCATGGCCCCTCTCACCTGCGCTCTGCTCTCCCAGACAGGCTGCCTGGCACTACCACTATCGTAAGTCTGAGCCTCCCAATCAGGTGCAAGAGGCCAGCCTCACACACCCCTCAGCGCCACCCCTGCTGCCCGGAGCTGGGACACTGGGGTTCCAGAGGCCTGATCCCCTAGCTGCCCTCAGGGACCACATGGATCGTGGTGAAATTAACCAGTTCCTTTAAAACACTGCACAGACTTGAGAGAGAGCGCAGTACGGACTGGCAAGGCTCTCTGTAGAGGGCCAGAAAATCAAGGCTGTAGACTGTGCAGGCCATTTGGTCTCCGAGGCAACCATCCCACTCTGCTGCTGCAGCCCCAAAGCCGACGCCGACCACCCCCAATCGAGCAGGCGTGGGCGTGTCCCAGTAAAATTTTATTTATGGACACACATATCTTGAAATATTTTGCTTTTGACTTTTTCCAACCCTTTAAAAATGTAAAAACTACGCTTAGCTCACAGACCACAGAAAACTGGTCAACGGGCAGCACGGGGCCTGCGAGCCCGTTTGCTAACCCCTATCTTAGACAAAGACACCAACAAGAACAAACCTAAATTGCTCCTAAAACCAAGAATTCAGAGCAGACTATTATCGAAAACCCTTCCTGTGCCCGATGCAGTGCTCACGAGGTCAGGCTCCCCCTCCAGGACCATGGCCAGGGCACCCCACTCTGCCCTAGGGACCCCATTCCATCCCAGGCACACCCCCTCTGCTCTCCTTTGCCCGAGACAGCCCCCAGTCTGGGGAGGTCCTGATGTCCCTTGTGGGAAGTTACCCTGGGCGGTTCACAAACAGCACTGTTTTCAGATCAATGTTTAAAGTAAAATAAGGCACTCAGGAAAAGTTTGAAGCCTTGCAGCTTTTGATACACAAAATGATTTGTGTCCAAGTACCCTGTGAAACCCCAAACCAAAGAAATGTTTTTCTTCAAATCAAAAGGCAAATGTTTCGGTCGGAAACAGCGCACTCATCACAAGTGGTTCCGCTCAATATATTCTGAGATTAGCTCCAGGTGCTGCTGCTGAAATTTCTAGAAGCTGCAAAAAAGCTCATCTTTATTGATCAGTAATTAGAATTCAGCCGACCCTCCTGCTCTGCAGCACGTGCACAAAGTGCAAACCGAAATCAAACATTCACAACATCACCTGTCACTTCCCTGCGGGGTTAAGCGTGCAGCCGGGCTTCTCCACACGCATCGCAGACAAGCTTCCGTCTCCACCAGCGCCGGCGAGGAGCTCTCCGCACCCCGAGGGGCCTGAGCACCGGAGCCAGCGCTGCCCAGTGAACTGAGGACTTAACTCCCCTCAGGTTTACAGCCCCCGCGGCGCGCAGCCGCCTGCTGGACAGCGTAGTGGACCATCCAGAAGGGCGAGGGGACTGGAGAAAAGCGCAGGTGTGCACCGCACTGCTGCAAAGACGTCCGTCCGCTTCCAGGCTCCCCTAGAGGAAGCCGCGTGGACGAGCAGGAAAGGACAGTGCCACAGCTGCAGGGTGACGTGCCCTCCAGTGTGAAGGGAAGGGGCTTGGAGGCACTTACTGCTCAGGCATAGCGGCTAACACGCTGCATGGCCTCCCTCCAGCCAGAGGGCTCTGCTCAGCGACAGAACATTCTAGAGCCCAGGGTCCCACGTCCAGCTGCCCAGCACGGCCCCAGGGGTCCGCTGAGTTGGGATGGACCTCGCCGCCCCCCAGCGCGAGTCGGGAAGGAGGTCCCCCCTTTGCCTGCGTCAGGGCGCTGCGGGCAGGAGGGGCGAGCACAGCATCCTGCCGCCCCGAGGTGGCGAGCACCCCCGAGGAGCACGCCGAGCAGAGCTAGGACGAGCAGCCCCGTGGCGCGCGCTCCGCCTTCATCTTCTTGCTCTGCCCGTTGGACCCGCGCGGCGGCCGCCTGTGCCGCTTCCTCTCCAGCTGCTGCTGCAGCCGCTCCTCCTTTTTCTTCAGGTACGGGGCCATGTTGTCGCAGGTGGCCTTGTAGAGGCTGCTGAAGCCACCGTCCGTGCCAGCAGAGCCTGTGCGGAACAAGAATGGGTGCCAGCGTGCCACAGGAGCGCAGGGGCTCTGCTTCTAGCGGGGGACGTGGTGGGCCGGAGGGACCCTCCTGCGAGTGACCACCGGCTCTCCGTGGACCTGTGGCGCCTCCTCTGGCATGGCCCCAAGGATGCCCACCTCCTGGTGGCCACACCTGGCTGGACCGAGGACTCGCTTCTAACAGGACATGCAGGGCCCGGGGGTCCCCGGGAGGCCAGGAGCAGAGGCTGTGGCTGTGTCCTGTCGGCACCGTGCCCCTGCTCCTCTGCGCTGGGGACTGGGGTGTGCTCCAGCCAACAGCCAGCGGGGACCTGAAATCTGCCAACCACCGAGTGGCCGGATGCAGACCCCGCAGGACCCACAGAAACAGTGGGACGTGCGGGCCACTCCAGCGACTATACACACCGCAGCTGCGTTTGTGTCCCCAGAGCTCGGAGGACCCAGGCCTCCATCTGGACAGTGGCTTGTCTTCCCAATAAGTCTTCTGAGCAATCATTTCTTTATTCAAGTAAAGGCACCTGAGTTCCAGGGCTGAGTTAAAAGCACCCCCAGACACAGCCAGAAGCTGCGTCCCAAGAGCCTGCCTTCTGCCAATACAAACGGAGGGGCTCTCGGCACCTGAATCTCCTCTAAGGGAACCAACCAGGCTCCGGCTCACAGCAGCTCTGCTGTCCTGACGTGGACGCAGACACACACACTGCACCCACCACAGGCCCTGCACCCTCACCCACAGAATGGCTTCCTGCTGCGTTCTGCGCTCTGGAACCTGCGTCCGCCCGCGCCCACGGCTGAACATGACCCTGCAAAGCAGGCCAGGGCGGGTCCTCACCTTCCAACATGGCCCAGTTCTCGCGAAGGTGAGCACAGACCCTCTTTGACGCAGCACTTTCAGGAAGAGACTGAGAAGACGAACAGAAAACCTTTATTGGAAAGAGGCCGGTGGACAGTGGTGACCCCTGTACTCACAGGAGGCGGAAAGGCCGCTCTCCCCGGTTCATCAGGCATGGCAGCGACCACGGCTTGCCACGCAGGACTCTGCCCAAGGTGTCTGGAACCTGGCAGGCACCAGCTGGCAGCATCGCTCACTGCTAGTTTTCAGATAAAGACACCCGAGCGAGCTGTCGGGCAGCTCTGAGCGCTCATCAAGGCCATGCAAGTTTGCAAAGGGCTCTGCAGGTGTCACCTGCTTCTCCCCATGGCACCTTAGACACAGGACAGGCGGGAGGTGACATCCCTGCTTTACACACAGGCTCACCCAGGCCACCTGCAAGGAGGGGCCCCCTCACTGTCCAGCGGGACCACTGCCCCAGCGCAAGGCTGTGCTGAGGCTGCAAATGTTAAGGATACACACCCAGGGCTCACCAACTGTGGGCTTTTCTCCTAAAAAGACGTGTCAGCAGAACAACCACAGGAAATACATACCAATGACAGCAATTCACCCCCGAGACACCCGTGCAGGCACCGTGACACTGAAGGACCCGGCCAGGCATCCAGCTCCCTGCACCCACGCTGCAAGCCCTGTGGCCGCTGTCCCCCGAGGACACAGCCGCTGGCACAGGCGTGGTTGACGGAAACAGCGGGGCCGCCAATCTCACCTGCCACTGGCCGCCCACAGGCCTGCAGAGCACGAGGGGGGCCTCCCGGCAGTCCTGCAGGACCCACAGCCCCTGGGCCTCCTCGAAGGCGGCGTCCCACACTCTGTGCTGGAAAGTCAGCTGCTGCTGGTAGACCAGCTGCCGCCGGGGGACATCCAGCTGGAAGAGGAAGACCACGGGCAGCCTTCCCAGGGAGAGAGGGGACGATCATGACAGCGCCCACGGGGGCACTCAGCCCGGGGCCAGCCCCGCCAACACCTCAGCGGCAACCTCGGGACGCCCTGAGCCCGGAGCCCCCAGCCAAGCCACTCCCGCTTCCCCAACCCCAGGAACCGTGAGCTAACGAACACTCCAGTCCCGAAGTCCGGGGGCAGCTTACTAGGCAGCAAAGACGAAGACGTGCAGATGAGACAGCCGCCCTGCCCGCTGAGCAGCGGACGGGACCCCAGGCCATGCTTAGCCCTCCCCAGCAGGCTTTTTACCCTCTAATCCTGCGTCCTCATTTCCAACGTGAGCTTAGCCGCCCGTCCCAGGCCTGCTGTCAGGACAAGTGACAATGTGGGAGGCCCCCAAACGCCCTCCCCAGCATGCAGACAAGGCTCAGGAGGGAACAGCTGAGTGGCCGGTGCTCCCCACACCCACCTCGTCAGCACTGCCAGCCCCCGACGGGTCTCTCATGCCGAACTGGGACTGACTGAGGGGGACCCTACCACAGCCGACCCTTCATTCGGATTCTATCTGCACAAAAGACCAGCCGGGGGCCCCTGCTCCCTTTACCCTAGCGGATTGAGATGCAGCGCATAGAAAGGGAGCCACCCGGCCCGCAGCAGCAGGGCTCGTAAAGCGAAGTTCACCGCAGGCAGACGCCGCGCCAGCGTCGCCGTCCAAGCCTCCCGAACGGGCCGCGCAGGCTCACCCGTCACACAGGAGTGCCACGCAGTCCTCCTGGCGCCAGTAAGTGATCCTGGACGCAGCAAACCTCTGAAAGGAAAAGCAGCGGCTTCAGGGGTGTCAGCCTGGCAGGACCTGACGCCGGGCTGCTCTGCTCAAACTGCGAGCATCGCTGCACGATGGACAGTCCCCACGTGTGGTCCATGACGGGCAAAGAGAAGACACTGCAGGACTCTCTGGACACCGGTGAGGACACAGCTCACAGGGAATTCCGACACACGGGGCAGATGGCAGAGGCCGCTCCGTGGCTCTGGCCCTCCCTCCGGAGCTGTGCCACATCTCCAAGGCCAATGGAATTGCTCAAAAAGGAGGGAGGATAGAGCACACGGGGAGGAAAGAAAGGCATGCACGTGAGCGTCCACACGCTCCGGCAGAGGAAGCAGCCTAGGCTGGGAGCCAGCAGACGCGCAGGGGGCACGGCAGGCCCACGCACAGCTCTCGGGGGCTGCCCTGGCCGCTGCTCCCCTCTACGCTCTCTCCTCGCCGTCCAGGGGCGTCAGGGGTGAGCAGAGCTCAGACGGGAAGGCAGAACGAGCAGGCCTCTCTCTGCCACAGCTCTAACGGGGGCACCGTGGCCGCAGAAGCCCAAGGCGGAGGCACGCACAGGGGCAGCCAGGGCAGCTGGAGGCCACTGACCCGGAGGGCCCTGCAGCCACTGGGCTGCATGGCCGCGGCCCTGGGGTGCTGGGGCTCTGACCCACGTCAGGCCTACCTGCCCACGTGCTACAGAGAGGTCTCGGGGTGGACGAGAGAACCGAGAAGCCAAGGACGAGGGTGGAGAGCCCTTCAGTACAGGCCCAGGTCTCGTTAGACACGCGGCAAAGCCCCGGGCCACGGGCTGCCACCCTGCGTATCATGACCCTAGCCCCCAGGCCAGCTCTGCAGGCCCTGGAAACATGTGAGCAGACCCTCCCTCCCCACCAGGCCCAGCTGGGCCTCTGGAAGCTGCCAGAACCGTCCACGTGTGGCCAGCTGGACCCCAGCCAAACAGGGCACCCACCCGGGAGCATCCGAGCAAAGAACCCCGAGAGCCTGAAAGGCGGCCCCCACCTTCTCCCCTGCAGATCCCCTGACAGCTGAGGGCTCAGTTGACCTGACCTCGGGATGCACTGGCCAGTGCGCCATCCTGGGGGCATGAGGTTGACCCACGATGGACAGAGGTAGGGAATCCCGGGCATGCTCAGCTCCCCGCCAGGCACCACTATTTTTTCCATTTCCAAGCAGGATTAGAGGCCTTTCTGTAAATTAGTGGTTTGAATGCAAACGTGGTAAAATATAAATTTTCTCCCATTTACATGACTAGGTGCCTGAATCTGAAATACACGATTCCTCTCAAGCTGGAAGAAGTTTACATTGACAGGAAAAACACGCTTCCAACGTAAAACGAGTTTTTTCCACAGGATCCATGACTGGAGAGACGCCCTATAAACCAGAGACAAACGTGAGGTTACCTTGTCGCTCCAGGGCTCCGTTGGCTCCTGCAGGCTGGACAGGTGACAACAATGCAACTCGCGGCCGCTTCTGTACTGCCAGAGTCTCAGGGTGCGGTCCTGCACACACCAAGGATGGGTCAGCGCCCAATGAGGCATCCAGACTTCACCGGGTAGTGGGAATAACTCAGCTATGTCCACTGCACCTCTCTCCCAGCTAAAGGCTCTTTGCTTAGTAACAACTGTGCAAAGAGTCGCACAAACCAATAAGTAAACATGGGTGACCCCACACAGCCAAATGGGCAAGGACACAGACACCCTGTCACATGCTGGAGGTCAAAGACAACACCTGCTATGCTCGGGCTGGGAGTGAACACACACGCATGCACACATGTACACACACGGACCCATCAATGAGCATGCATTCGCACAAGGAGAAACACATGGGGTTAATGAGCATGTGACAACTGTCCACACATCACTGTTTAAGAATGGGTGAAAAGAGGACATCCGTTTGTTACCCATGAGAGTGTCAACTGGCATGGCCTTGACATGTGCTCCAAAAATAACATAAATGCAAAAAAAGGAGGGTTTATCAGGAACAAGACAAAGATGCCCACTTTGGCCACTTTTATTCAACACAGTAATGGCAGTCCTAGCCACAGCGATCAGACAAGAAAAAGAAAAGGAATCCAACTTGGAAAAGTAAAACTGTTACTGTTTGCAGATGATGTGATTTTACATATAGAAAAGACTCCACCAAAAGACTACTAGAAATAATGAATGAATAGAATAAAGTTGCACAATCAATGTAGAAAAATCTGTTGTGCTTCTACACACTAACAACAGACTAAAAGAAAGAAAAATTAAGAAAGCAACCCCACTTACAATTTATTTAGGAATAAATTTAACCAAGGAGATGAAAGACCTGTACTCAGAAAAATAAGACATTGTAGAAAGAAACTGAAAACACAAACGAATGGAAAGATATTCCTGCTCATGGATTAGAAGAATTAACATTGTTTAAACGTACATTATTAACTAAAACAATTGAAGACTCACTCCAATCACTATCAAAATCGCAACATGTTTCAAACATAAGACAAAAAAATCCTAAAATTTATATGAAACCACAAAAGACCCGGAATAGCCAAAGATCTTGAGAAAGAATAACAAAGCTAGAGTGTATCACGCTCCCTGATTTCAAACTATACTGCAAAACTACAATAATCAAAATGGCATGGTATTGGCAGAAAAACACACACACACAGATCAATGGAACAGAACTGAGAGCCCAGAAATAAACCCATACACATATGGACAATTTACAACAAAGGAGTAAAGAACATACAACAGAGAAAGGACAGTCTCTTCAATAAATGGTGTGGGGTAAACTGAACAGCCATATGCAAAAAGATAAAACTGGACCACAATCTCAAACCATACACAAAAATGAACTTGAAATGGATTAAAGACTTACACGTAAGACCTGAAACCATAAGACTCCTAGAAGAAAACACAGGCAGTACGCTCTTTGACATTGATCTTAGCAATACCTTTCTGAATATATCTCCTCAGGCAAAGGAAATAAAAGCAAAAAATAAACAAATGGAACTATTTCAATCTAAAAAGCTTCTACACAGCACTAGAAACGATCAACAAAAGGACAACCAACTGAATGGGAGAAGATATTTCCAAATCATGTATCTGATAAGTGGTTAAGAACCAAAGCAGATAAGGAACTCCTACAACTCGACAACAAAAAACCTTTAAAAATGGGCAGAGAAGGGGCTTCCCTGGTGGCGCAGTGGTTGAGAATCTGCCTGCCGATGCAGGGGACATGGGCTCATGTCCCAGTCCGGGAAGATCCCACATGCCGCAGGGCGGCTGGGCCCGTGAGCCATGGCCGCTGAGCCTGCGCGTCTGGAGCCTGTGCTCCACAACGGGAGAGGCCACAACAGCGAGAGGCCCGCGTACCGCGAAGAAGAGTTGTCCCTGCTTGCCGTAACTAGAGAAAGCCCTCGCATGGAAACGAAGACCCAACACAGCCATAAATAAATAAATAATTTTTTTTTAAATGGGCAGAGACTATGAATAGACATTTTTCTAAAGACATACAGATGGGCAACACGCACATGAAAAGGTGCTCAGCATCACTAATCACCAGGGAAATGCAAATCAAAACCACAATGAGATATCACCTCACATCTGCCAGAATGGCTACTACCAAAAAGACAACAAAGGAGAAATGTTGGTGAGGATGTAGAGAAAAGGGAACCCCCGTGCACTGTTGGTGGGAATGTAAACTGGTGCAGCCACTGTGGAAAACAGTATGGAGGTTCCTCAAAAAATTAAAAATAGGGCTTCCCTGGGGGCGCAGTGTTTGAGAGTCCGCCTGCCGATGCAGGGGTCACGGGTTCGTGCCCAGGTCCGGGAAGATCCCACATGCTGCGGAGCAGCTGGGCCCGTGAGCCATGGCCGCTGAGCCTGCGTATTCGGAGCGTGTGCTCCACAACGGGAGAGGCCACAACAGTGAGAGGCCCGCGTACCGAAAAAAAAAGAAAAAAATTAAAAGTAGAGCTACCATATGATCCAGCAATTCCACCCCTGAGAAGAAAACAAAAAACACTAATTTGAAAAGATATACGCACCCTTCTGTTCACTGCCACATTATTTGCAATAGCCAAGATCTGGAAGCAACCGAAGTGTGCATCAACAGAAAAATGTGGTGCGCGCGCGCGCACACACACACACACACACACACACACACACATTGCTGAGCCATAAAATAGAATGAAATCTCGCCATCTGCAGCAACATGGATGGACCTGGAGGGTATTACGCTCAGTGAAATAAGTCAGATGGAGAAAGACAAATACCACATCATATGATTTCACTCATACGTGGAATATAAAAAGTAAACAAACAAAACAAAAACAAACATGCAGATACAAAGAACAGAGTAGTGGTTACCAGAGGGGAGGCGGTGGGGGGAGGGCAAGATGAGTGAAGCGGGTCAACTGCACTGTACTGTGACGCACGGTGACTAAACTTGGTGGCGAGCACACAGTAATGTATGAAGAAGTCAAAATGCAGTGTTGTCCACGTGAAACTTACACGTCATAAACCAACGTTACCTCCGTAATACAGAAAAGAGGAGAGGGTTATATTAAGAAACGTTTCTTACAACACTCATTCAGACAGCAGGAAACAGAGCCACACGTCTAAGGAGAAGGCCCAGACAACGAGTGAAACGAAGCTGGGTCCACGCCAGCATCTGCCTCAGAAAAACCCCTCGTGTGAGTGGGATCCCTTTACTAAAACCAGACATGCACAGGCCACAACCACCTGCAGAGCAAATACGAAGTCTGATGAGAAGAACCTCTGTGTGATTTAAATGACCAAGAGAGAAAGAAGAAAATTAACTTCCCCAGAATGGTTAAGGCAGGAATCTCTGGGTGCTAGGATGTGAGTATGAATGTCTTGCCGTCAATATGGCTGATAAACAGGGAGACGAACGCACTTCTACAGGTGTCCCCACTCGCCCCCAGTCCCCCCAGGCGACAAGGGGTGTTTTAGAGCAGAGCCCTACAGGACAAAGCCAATCACGGGTAGATGCAGACAGAACCCAGCTGCTGGGGACAGATGATGGGAACAAGAGGCCTTGGTCTCGGGGACGCTGGGACGCACGTAGAGAAGAGACACGGGACCCCTCCCCACAAAGGGTGAAGACAGGAAACCGAACCCCACCCCCATGAGAAAAGGAGGACTGACTGACCCAGGAGGGCTCCCACAGGGATGCAGCCGCGTGCCCGAGTCTGACACCTGGGCTCGCAAACCCAGCCCCAATGCCATAAGCGGACAGATGGACCACCAGACATCGAGGAAAACCTCCAGCTGGAAAGGTGTGTGACACACTGGGAGGAAAGGAAACACACACGGGAAAATCCCTAAAAAAAAAACACACGTCACACCACCTCAAGGAGATCCAAAGTCTACATTCAGGATGCAAGAATGGGGGCTATGGAGAAAGAACATCCCAAGGACGAGAAAGAGCCTCTTGGAAAGTAGAAACCACAGCAGAAATTAACATGCCCAGAGAAGGCTGGAAAATAAAGCTGAGAAAATCTCCCCCAAAGCAGAACAGGGAGCAGGGACATGAGAGAAAAAATATGAAAGGAAAGAATCAAGAGTCAGCGGGTCAAACACCCAACTGCACAAATTCCAGGAAGAGTGAGGCGCGGACGGCTCCAGAGGGAGGGAACCTAAGGAAACTCCCAGGTCTGTGGACCTGAAGACTCAGAACGGAAAGAGCCACTGACTGTGCAGCTAATTACAGGGCCCCCATGACACCCCCGCCCTGCTCCATCATTCTTCAGAGCACGGGGTGAGAAGGCCCCCAAAACACGGCCAGAGAGAAGGGCAATCAGAGCCCACATGAAGGACCCAGACTCAGTGGCCTCAGACTTCTCAAAGGAAAAAGCGGGCAGAAAACCAAGCAAACCAGAGAAAAGCCTGGAGCAACGGCTTGACAATCTGCAGGGAAACATCTGACTGAGCATCGTACACCTGCCTGATAACCGAGTGCTGGGGGCGGGCGAAGGGCACCTCCCAAAAGGCAGGCTCCTAACCACCCTCCCTGCACCTTCAGAAAGCTGCCCCATGACATGTGCCCCAAACAAGGTCGGGGGGCACCTTCAGGAGACAAGGAGCCCACCAGCAAAGAGGGAGGGGACGCAGGCAGGAAACTGCTGATTCCCATGCAGATGGCAGCAGCTGACACGAGGACACTGCTCATGCTTGTTTCTTGATGACTCGTGGCGTTTGGAAACACGGGCCATCAAGAGGACACAGGTGAAGGCTCCCAGGGTCTGCCTTGGAGGCCATGGGGGGGTGGAGTGCTAGTTTCCACTCTAAGCCTTACAGCAGCATCTGACTCTTTACATAAACATACAATCTGCACTTCACAGCGTGCAGGGCACGCAGCACACCACGCCCGGGCCAGGTGGCCCGTGAGGAGGTAGGACAGCAATGGGATGGGGCACCCAGGACGGCCAGCGCCAGCCCTACTGCATTTCTGTAACAAGGAGTAGAAGCAGAACGCTGGACTTGACAAAGCTAAGTGGTAAGACCAAAGGTGGTCACTACACTTTTCTGTGTGGCTGAGTTTTTTTTTTTTATTGTAAAAGAGGCTTACAGCAAAATTCACAGAAAATGGCTATCTCTGGGAACTCCAGCACGTTTATTTTCTTCTCTTTACTTTCACAAGTCACTTTCAAGAGAAGGGAAAAGTAAAAAACCTGTGAGAAACCGCACCTGGTGAAGGAAATGGGACGTGGCCACCGCCTGGAAGGCCTGCCTGTCAGGAGTCCATGAGGCCCCCAGCCCACCCCAGGCCCCTGAGTTGCATCAAAAGCTAAAGGGTGGAAAGACAAAGATAAAGGGCTGTGGGCAGAGCTTTTGAAAAGAAAAGAAGAATCAGAGCCAATTAGGAACTCAAAACCTGCACTTCAGCAAAAGTACTGCTTGATGATCCTTCTAAAGAGTATTCCTTAGAGAAAGGTGCCACCAATCACTCAGCTGTTAAGGCTTCTGGCTCCTGGGACAGAGCTGCTGTACTTACTGATCAAACTTCCACCAAGGCCAAGTGCCTGGCCCCTCTCCACGTGCTCACACAGGGGCGGATCAGGGACAAGGGCTGAGAGCAGTAAGACGGGAGGGAACCAGGTCCCTCTGGGATTCGGAAAGGGCCGTCTACCAACCGTTCTGACGAGGTCATGGTGCTGTAAGGACCCCTCAGACCGGAGTCCCTGCACACGGGTTCTGGCTCAGCGCCCGCACACACACACACACACACACACACACACACAGCCCTGGAGCAGGGAGCGGGCCGGCCGGCTCTACCCTGCAGACCACAAGCACCACCTAGTGGACGGCCACCCAGGAAAGGCACGTGCTGACCTCCCAACCACGCTGGGAACAGAAGACAGGCTGCTCCCTGACAGGTCCTCCCCCAAGCGAGGCCCCAGGCTGCACCCCCACAACGGGGAGCCGGGGCGCCCATGGGCAGCAGAGCACTTACCCCGGACGAGGACAAGAGCAGCTCGGGGTGGTCGGGCACCACGAAGATGCGACTCACAAACCTACAGGTGGAGAGAGGCAGAGGGTGAGCCCGGCTGCTGTGACTCTGCCCCGCCCGTGTCACCTCGGACCCTGACCCCAACAGAAGCCGAGAGGGGTAGCGTGACTGCGTGGGGAGCACGCCCCATCACTCGGGCCCAGAGGCACTCCCCAGCCGCGCCTGCCAGGAAGGCCCCAGGGGGTCTGCCCTGCTCGGGAGCTGCCCAAGCACGCGCTTCAACGGGGTCTGTGACACCAGGGTGACCTGCAAGCAGGGCCGGGTGGAAGGGGGGCAGCGCCACTGACCGCAGCCAGAGTCACACCCACGAGCCTCACCCGAGCAACCCGCTCGGGGCTGCAGGCGTGCACACCAGCATCTAACGCGATCACTAGCCCACGGGCGCCCGGGGACCCCTGGGAGGGGGGCCCCCGTGGCTCCCTCACCTCCACTGGTTCCCATCCCAGCTGCCTGGAGTTTCACCCCAGCCTGGGCCCCGTCCTGGCTGCAGCCACCCTCCCTCCCCAGGACAGCCTTCCCCGAAGGCCCTCAAAAAGGAACAAGGACACGTTGCAGGATGAATGCAGCCTGTGTCCCCCACAATGGCACGTTCACGACAGCGGGTACGAGCCACCTCGACGTCTCTACAAGAAAGGAGTGGAAACCACAGTTTCCAGGGCCTTCACCAAGACTCTTAAGGAGCAACAATCAGTCATTTATTCACCGAAATATCCACTGAGCACCTACTGCGTGCCAGGCGCTGTGCTGAGGGCTGCAGACAGCAGTGAGCAAGCCTGACAAAGACACCCCCCCCCCCCGGCCAAGTCTAGGACTCGGCGGGAGACAGGCCATAGGAGACCCTGGATGTCCGCGGAGGCTCAGAACGGCCCATCCAACAGAAACACAGCCCCAGCCATGATGTGAGTCACCAAGGGGCTGATAACTACGCTAAAAAGGTAAACAGACTCAGGTGAGACTAATTTTAATACTATGTTTTGACTTAACTCAATATACCCAAAATGTTATCATCTCAACCTGCAATCAATATAACAAATTAATAATGAGCTATTTTTACACTGTTTTTTCACACTGTCTCTGGAATCAGGCGTTTTACACTAACTACTGGCACATCTCACTTGAGACCTGGTGGCTCATGGCTCTGAGCTGGCCGGCAGAGGCTGAGAAGCCCAGCAGGGAGGGGCTGGGGGGAGGGGTGCTTCCTGAGAGGGCAGGTGGCATCGGGCGGAAAGCTGAGTGAAGGAGGGTGCTGGGCAGCATGGGCAAGAGCTTGCCCGGTGGAGAAAATGGCATATGCAAAGGCCCCGAGGCACAGCGTGCCCAGTGGGGTGGGGAGCAGCAAAGGCCCCTGAGAGACGGCAACGGGGCGGGGGGCTGGCCGGTTACAGTAACTCTGCTCGCAGGATTACTAGACAACTGAATAAAAGCTAAAACAACGCTATCGTGACGTACAAACCCAGCAACCATCGACCTTTAAGGTCAACGTTTACATTCCAGTCAAAAACCAATTCTTCCCCTGCCTCAAATAACGTAGAGTTTAAAACACTTCAGCCAGTTAAACTAAGTGCTTTCCTTCCTGCAAACTGTAATCAGCCTTTTGCCTCAGAAGAGCAACATTCTTCAGAAACGCCACCCTCACATGACGTCAAACTTCACTTACTAAACGAGCGCTCACTTGCCAGAAGACAGATCACAGAGCAACAACGCCTGCCTGGACGATTTCAATTGCTGAAGCATGTTCCTCGTCCCCCGACACACCCCCACTGACCGCTGACTCTACTGCCAGGCGCTGAAGGGCATCGGTGCTGGCCTGCGGTGACCACGCACTGGGGACTGAGACCTCGGTGCCACCAAGAAAACCTCTGGGAAATGCATTCTGAACAGGGAAGGAGGTTCTGAAGGTTCTGAAGCCCTGGGACCAGGGGGGAGCTAGACGGGGCCCCACGAGGAAGCAAACCGATGCAGGCCAGGCCATCCAGGCTGGTCCCCTCCTCCCAGGAGGCACCTCTCGCTTCGCCACCAGCTTCCCCAGCTGAAGGGTCCGCCTGCATTTCAAACCTGAGCCTCCCTGTGTGGAGGGTGAGGGGCTCACTCGGTGGGGGTACGGGGACAGGGGACACTCACTAGTTGGGGTGACAGGGACAGGGGACACGGTGCGGGGACAGGGGACACTCACTCGGTGTGCCCAAGGCAGAAGGACTCGATGTTGTGCGGAGCCGCAGCCCAGCTCACCCGGATTTTCTCGTCCCGGTCGGCGGTGAGGACATAGCGGTCGTCAGGACTCACGGCCTGTGCACAAGGGTTAGAAGGGGCGGGTCGGCATGGCCGGCCCCGCCCGCCACCCCAGCCTCAGCTCCGGTGTCCCCCGAGGGCCACAGCTGCCCCGCGCCCGCTCCCTGCCGCAGCCCGGCCGTGCCCGCTCCCGCCCGGTCGCCTCCCTCTCCTTCCTTTCACGCGTCCCCAGGCCCAGCCCCCAGGCCCAGCCCGTCGCTGAGTCCTGGTGATCTGTCCTTCACGACCCCCAGTTCCTGTGTGCCCCTGCAGGGTCCCAACCTGCCCCGCCGCCCCTGGCCACAGCCCAGCCCTCGTGGGCCTCTCGGGGCCCCTGCGGGGGCAGCTCATAGCTCGGGGGCTCGGAGGACGCCTGCTCTTTCCACACCCCTCCCCCTCGTCTCCCCGACCTGGGCCTCCCCCACGTCTAGACCACGCAGCTGCCCCTAACTTGACCGTCCTCCTTCAGCCTGCTGCCAGCTTCACCTCTGAAATCGGGGCCCTGCCCACAGCAGAGCCCAAACCCGCCCACCTGGCACACAGGCCGCCCCCTCCTCGTCCCCTGAGCCGGACTGTAGCCAACGAAGCACGTCGCCCACGTACCACATCCAGCAGCATCGACAGGTGTCCCAGTTCAAGCTTGCCACTCCCGTGCGGCTCCAGCACCGAAAAGGAATAAACATCCCCAGACTTGTCTGCTACCAGAACCTTCTCCTCAGAGGCCGTGAAGGTCAGGGCTGTGCACCGCCTCACCACAGTCCTACAAGGCCAGAGACGCCCACGGTCGGCCTCTACGGGTTGGCGCCAGGGCCGCCCGCTGACCCGCAAGGCTCCCGCCATGTGGCAGTCACCGAAGACGGTGCCAAAAACATAAAGGATGGAAACAGAGCCAATGTCTCAGACAAAACTTACTTTCGCAATATTTTTTCTTTTAAAAATGTGCTAATGGCAGAATCTGAGTGGTGGGTATCTACGTGGCCAACGTGAGACCCGCTCAGCTTGACAGTGTATTTGAAGGCTGTCGTGATAGAGTGCTGGGGGCGGGGCTCCCCGGCCTCCCCGTGCGTCGAGGGTACAACAGCAGCCAGCTTCCTAAACGCCAATGCGCTCTGGGCCGCGACCACAGCTGCGGAGGGCCCTCCTGCCCCAGCCGGCTTCCCATCCAGAACCCCACCCTCCGCGCCGCCCACCCACCGTCGGCTCTGCCGCCTCGACCGGGATCCTGCACACGCTGCTCGTGCGCACACGAGACAGCCGCAATGCCGAGAGCTGGGGGCGCATCACAAGTCCAAATCCTTGAACCGGGGCCACAAGAGCTGTCACGTCTGCGAGCTGGTCCAGTAACGACATCAGCCACGAGGAGCAAAACCACAGTGGTGACACAGGCCCCACCGCCGGCCCGCTCGCCCCGGGTCGGGGTCATGCCGTTTCCTCCTGTTACCATTTTTCATTTTGTTTCTACTGGGACGTCTTCCAGGTAGCAAAATAGGCTCTCCACGACAAGGTACCCGTATTTTTCATTCTATGTTAGAGACAAGCCATAATGCTGCTTTACACGAAAACACCTTGCATTTATCTACACGCGTGGCCTCTTCACAGAAGGGCCGGTCTCAGCTTTGCCGTCACCCGAGGGCTGGAAGGGGACCCACTGTCCCCGTAAAGAGCTAACGTCCGTGCAGACGACACCCAGCTCACAGCAGCCGGGACTCCAGACGTCAGCCTGAAACAGAAACTGAACGTTATGCCCCCCACGCAGGGCCCATCAGAGCCCCGCCCGCCTTCCGCCTTTCGGGAGGGAGGGGCGAGAGGACAGAGGAGCGAGCGGGAGGCCCCGCTGGGTTCCAGGAGCCGCCACGGGGCTGGCAGCTGCTGGACGGCCCCCACTCCTCCGTCCGGTGCAGCCAGGCAAGGAGGCGTGAGGCCATGAACGTGAAGAAACAACAACAAGGAAAGGGAATCAGACCCCAGGTCAAGACTGATCAGAACTCGCAGCGGGCCCGTCATCTAAACAAACGGCCTGTGCTGCACCAGCAACACGGCTGCACAGCCTAACGGGCCCACTAAGCATCTGCGCGGAGCGCGGCCACGGCCTGGGGGGGCGGAGGGGGAGGCACGACCTCCTAGGGGGCACCGGCCTAGGATAGTCCTCGGGAGGCAACAGGCTTGCATCCCAATGAGCTCGCCCACCCCAGGAGGAAGTGAGCCCTCCAGAGCCGGCCCCCTCCCCACTGCAGCCCCCCCATTCCCACTCTGCATCTCGCCCCTGTGTCCTCTGCCAGCTGGGGGCTTCCAGCTTCTCAGGCTAAACCCGTCTTGGCAACGATTCCAGGACGTGGCTCAGCTGTGCAGGATGGGTGTAGGAATTGGGACCCGTGGGCATCAGGACACAGGTGGCGGACAGGACCGTCGGTGGCTGGCCATGCCGCCCCAGCAGAACGAGCCCCGGGGGCACCAACCTTCGGCCTCCATGGGGTCTGGGGCCTCAGCGCTTTCCCTCGCTCCACAGAGTCACTGGGTTCAAGGCCCAGGCCCCCCCAGGGTGGGTGTGGCCCCCTCCTCCCTGCCAGGGACAGAGGAAGGGCTGCTAGAGCAAGCTCTGAGCTGTGAGCAGGTCCCACAGCCGCTCGGGGCCCCGGCCGGTCAAATGTGGATGAACTGGACGTCAGATGTACCGAGGGTGGGTGCCGTTCTGAGGGGGCCCATCAGATCCCAAAGGGGTCTGTGCTCCAAAGGTAAAGAGCTGCTGCACCCCCTCCAGGGTGACGTCCACTAGACCAGCATGGGGGGGACCGCCCACTGCATGTCGTCGCCCCGGCGACTTCAACTCACCCTGCTCTCCCGCAAAAGCGTAATCAGAGAGGAAAGGCGCTGAGCTCAGGGTAAACGCACAGGAAAAGGCAACGGGAGACACTCGACCCCTGCCCTGGGCTCGCCCCGGCCCAGCCCCTTGGCCCCATTATCCGAAGGCTGCAACACGAGGGAGGTCCTGCAGTTGTAATCTGGCTCCTTAATTTCATCCAATCACATCATACCTTCCACACCACATAATGCAAGCATTTCCTACACAAAGTTATTCTGCTGATATCAACTTAAAAGCCAAGAGAGAACGACTAGAGGGAAAACGCCCAGCACCGAGACCGCTAAGGTCTACGGCCCCGAGTGTTACTGGGTCTCACGTGGAAAGAAGCTCCGATACACAACCTTCCAGAGACAAAACAACACGGCACCTTCCCTTCAGTCCACACCCACAGGCCTCGGGGTAGGGGGACCCAGGCACGGTCACGGGGACCAGTCGTCTGAACACCCGCCCTGCCCCGCTCCCGAGGAGGCCTCACCTAAACTCTCTCATTAAGAAGCCCGACGCCACGCAGACCCCCTGCTCCCTCCTCAGACCCTGCACGAGCCAGGACCCTTCTAGAACAACCAGAGCCCCCCCAGGAGCCCTGGGCGCTTGCCGTGCCACCCCGGCAGAAGGGCAGGAGCTCCAGAACCAGGACCCAGGAGTGTGGACACCACCATGCCCACATCCAGAGTGAAATCTCTACCCACCCGCGGAACGCACACAGAAGTGGCAGTTCACCCACGTCTGCCTTCTAGCAAGTCCAGAGCTGCCACCTACAGAGTGAGAGCAAGCTGGCCACCAACTCTCCCCACCACCAGCAGGCCCTGCGCCCGCACCCACGCTTCACAGAAGTGGTCAGTGTGACTGCGAGGGACCCAGGGGTCAAGAGCCCTAACAGTGGGCGCACCCCCTCAGTGAAGAATCACCCTCATCCAAAGAGAGGTCAGGCCCGTGGCCTCACGGCCTGGGAGGAGGTGATCTCTAAGAGGACAAAGCAGGTCTCCAGGGGCAGAAACAGATCCCGCGAAGAAACTGTCGCAGGGGGAAGGCAGGTGCTGGGGAGACAAACGCCGAGTTGGAGGCCGAGTGGTGTCTCTCGCTAAGGATCTCTGGATGATGAGATTCACAGTGACTTGTTTTTGTTCCCACTTTGGGCTCTTCTGAGGTTTCCAAATTTTTACATGAACCACAAAAATTCAAGGGGGAGAATGGAAAAAATTGCTGTGGTAGGAAACCACACTGCTCCAGGGACCAGACAGGACACCTGCGAACCTGCCCTCAGCTGCCCTCCCGCAGACCCCACAGGGGCAGGTCTGCACACAAGCACGCCCGTGGCAGCTCTGGACGGTGGCCTGGGGGAGCCTGTCGGCCGAGGCTCCCCCACAGTGTCTCGCTCGGCACGCGACGCTATATGGGATGGCCGGTGACAGGGCAGCCGCAGTGGATGGACTCGTTTAACACAAATGGGAAAAAACCAAGTTCCCCAACACAGAATCAAAGCGAAAAGGAGCCACCAGCCCGCAGGAAAGCAAAGGGCGTAAGACATCAGCTCACAAGATACAAGCAGGCCTTCAGGGTAAGGCTGCTCTCCTCACTCCTAACAAGGCAAGCACGCAAGGTCCCACTTTTCTCTCACACGGCCCCAGGCCCAAGGTTAGATGCTACTCAGTGCTGGGGTGTGAGGTGTTTGCTCCTGCACTCTGGGGGGTAAAGGGAAAACCCCTTGGGAAGGCAATTTGTGATAATCGACATAATTTACAAATAACACATCTTCAGACTTGGCAATTCAGTTTTGGCAACTTGTACAGATAAATGAGAAAAGTTACGTCTGAGAAAATATAATTCACTGAAGCACTTTTTGAAAGAGCAGAACAAGTGAAATGCAGGTAAGAAACGTCCATGAAGAGGGAAGGTCAAGAAAACGACGGGACTGCACGCAGTTGCTACTCTTCACAAAGTACTGACCAGCACAGACACCTCTGCCATCAGCTCCATCGGGTGCACCTCCAACACGCCCTCCAGACCTAAAGACCCCAAGTCTCCTCTGACCCAGGCCTGATCCCCTGGGTCCTCCGATCATTGCACAGGTCCCCTCGTCAACCTGGGGGTCAGACGCAGATTTATGGATGTCCTTGGAGGGCGATCAGAGCTCTAATACATCACGCTGCAGACAGAATCAGTCTGCATGTCCTCAAGGTACCCCAGTGGGCGTACCAGAAGCACGGCCAGACAGCCTTTACTTTAGCAAAAGAATTACTGCCAGGTTCCTTTAGATCGTTTGATTTTCATCTTTTGGGGCAAAGCCCCCTTTTTGAGAATCTGACAAAAGGTATGGAGACTCCACAGACAGCAGTCAGGGTCAAGAAAGGAGATTAACTACTGTTACGGGCTGAACTGTGTCCCCCCACCCCGGAAATTCATGTTGGAATCTAAAAACCCTCCAGACCTCAGAATGTGGCTGTATTTGGAGAAAGGTATGGAGACTCCACAGACAGCAGTCAGGGTCAAGAAAGGAGATTAACTACTGTTACGGGCTGAACTGTGTCCCCCAACCCCGGAAATTCATGTTGGAATCTAAAAACCCTCCAGACCTCAGAATGTGGCTGTATTTGGAAAGACAGCCTTTAGAGAGGTGATTCAGGTGCCATGTGGCTGTTCAGGTGGACCCCAATCCAGTGTGATGGGCATCCTTACAAGAGGAAAACAGGACAGAGGGATGACCATGTGAAGAGACAACAAGAGGGTGGCCATCTACAAGCCACGCCCAGGAGAAACCAATCGGGCTGACACCTTGATCTTGGACCTCAGCCCCCAGAACTGTGAGGACTAAATACCTGTTGTTTAAGCTGTGGTGTTTGTTATGGCAGCCCTGGCTGCCTCATCAGCTACCATCACCTGCCATCACTGTCGTGGGCCTGCCCTCCCCGCTCCCTACAAAACCAAGCAAAACCAAGGCTACCTGCAAGGATCCCTGTGGGGGAGCTCAGGGTCAGAAACCCCAACGTTCCCGGCGATGTTCAACCCTGAACCCCGAAAATACATGACATCGTCTGTGCTCTAAGTGACCCGCTAATGTTCCAGCTATGTTGGCAGGAAGATGCTGCCTCACAGGCCTCTCCGGTTAAGGGTGATGTGAATTCACTTCGGCAGGAAGGAGCAGTTCATCATCAATTAACCTGTGGCTACACGGCAACACACATTTAAAAGTCATTTTGGGGCTGGAAACTGTAACTGACTGTGGGCAGTAGCTGGAGGGCACGGGTGCAGGGAGATTCCCCGTACATCCTTTCAATTTTCTGTTTTAAGCTTTTAAAACATGAGCATCTATTGCCCACCTAATACACAAATGTGTATTATGAAGTAATGTTACTGGACTTTATGAAGTAAAGTTACTGGACTTTATTTTTAACCTGACTGGAATCAAGGGCAGAGTGGGTATTCCTTGCTTTTGATGCCACCTGGAATCTGGCTTTTTATCCTTTTCTTAGCAAATAAGATAAGATAAAAATCTTAGAAGTGTAGCTGTCCCAATACAGGTGTGAGTCGGCTACAACAGGAAATTCCTTGACCTTGGCCCTTCAGTAGTTAGAACGTTATAACCGCACACGTTTATCTCTGATTACGAAAGGGCAGTTAAACCCTGCAGCTGCAGGGAGGCGAGAAAGGGAAGGCCGGCTCTGCTCCACGTGGGTGTTTCCATCAGTGTCAAAGAACAATCAAAATAAAGCCCGCCTGCACCCTCCTAAGGAAACAGAGAAGGTGCAAGTTAAGAGATTATCAAAGCCAGAGGAAATTTACATCTGCCCCCAGCCGACTGTCAGCATCACCCACCTCCTCTCCAAAGACAAGGAAGCTCTCGGGAAGCGAGCGCTCAGAAAACCGCAGTGCCCCCTCCCTTTGAGGAAATGATGGAGAGAGATGCAGGAGAAGAATAAAAAGTCGGAAGAGAATCACAGGACTTTGCTGGGTAGGAGGAAACACCCAGGCCCAGTGACAGCTATGTTCTTGCTGAGTTACTGACATCATCTCCCATCAATGCTGAGCCCCCAACTCTTGAGATACTCAAGTAAGTGCACCGACTTAAAAACTCACCAAGTTAAAACCGTGGCCCAGGGCTTCCCTGGTGGTGCAGTGGTTGGGAGTCCGCCTGCCGATGCAGGGGACAGGGGTTTGTGCCCCGGTCCAGGAGGATCCCACATGCCGCGGAGCGGCTGGGCCCGTGAGCCATGGCCGCTGAGCCTGCGTGTCCGGAGCCTGTGCTCCGCAACGGGAGAGGCCACAGCAGTGAGAGGCCCACGAACCACAAAAAAAAAAAAAAAAAAAAAACGTGGCCCAGGTACCTTAACTTACACGAAGCCCCTGACACACTCCCAGGGGGCATGCTGGCATTCTCTATTTCTGCCACCACAAGACTGGAGGAACAATGTTTGGAAAGCACGACGGCACAGTGGCCAGGGGCACAGACTCTGTAGCCAGTGACCAGGACAGGGCCCAGCTGAGCTGAGTAACTGGAACTGCTTCCAAGTTTCCTGAGCAGCGTGTGGGTGAGAACCCCGCCCCGCCCCGCCCCACTCATGGGCCTGGTATGAGAATTAAATCAGTTAACACAAGTACAGCACTCGAAACAGTTCCTGGCACAGAACTGGTGCTCTGTGTTAGCTTCTTACAATATCGCTACTGTCACTATTGTTACTGGCATGCAAGTGTAAGCCGTGCGTTCAACATCGTAATGATTCAACGTTAGCATTTCATACCTGACACTCAGACATTGCCATGGTTTTGTACGGAAAAGAATCAGACGCTTACTGTCATCAGTTAAAGCAAAATAGCTGCCAGACGTGGAGAAGGTGGACGCCAGAATCGTGTCACTCCCCTTATCCACGGGCTGTCCGTCCTCCCTGAGAAAGAGAGGGGACAGGTCAGGCCTTACCTCAGCAAGTGAGGCTGCGCCCTCCAGGCCAGCCCTGTGCATTTATAACACGATCGGACGTAGAAAATGTGATGAGGTTCATGTAGCCAGAATATAAAACATATTAAGGGGACATGGAGAGGTTAAAAACCACTCTAATTTTTAAGGAGTAAAGCTAATTAAACAGAAAAGTCTCTCAGCATACACACCAGAATCCCTAGGCCTGAACTGCAAAGACCCTCAGAGGCCCACTCCCTCAAGGACATGAACTGATCTACAACTAGACGCAGGGATCAAATCTTATTAAGGAAAATAAAGTGGGCCCCAAGCCCGATTCTTCTAAAGAAAACCACCATACAGAATGACCATACTCTGAAAACAAACCTATGGTTACCAGGGGGCAAAGGTGGATAGGGATAAATTGGGAGATTTGGATTGACATATACACACTACTATGTATAAAATAGACAACTAATAAGGACCTGCTGTAGTGCACAGGGAACTCTGCTCAATACTCTGTAATGACCTATATGGGAAAAGAATCTAAAAAAGAGTGGATACATGTATAGATGTACAGCTGATTCACTTTGCTGTACACCTGAAACTAACACAACATTGTAAATCAACTATACTCCAATAAAATTTTTTTTAAAAACCATACTCTTATCTTTCAATTAGCTAAAGTTAATTTCATACACCTGCTTTCAATGCATTTAAAATTGCCCTGTTATTTCAAAGTGCCAATAAAATAGTTAATTACTGACAAAAACGAATTTAAAGTATTTTAAAAAGTGCTAATATTCTTAATGCTGAATTTGAAAGGTAGTTCCACATTTCTCTCCTGAGGTGGTCCCCGGTTTATCCACACAGCCGGGTAACAAAAATGAAGAATTCAGAAAATAAGACAACAGCTTACTCCTTAGACTGAACGGTCCCATTATTCAAACCATGCATCAGCCCTGAAGAGGCTCCCCTACCATCTCACCCTTTATGCTCTTGTGCCTCCTTTTCTGCAGCACTGCAATCATATATGAAGAGGCTGTCATCATCACTAAAGAAAAAAATAACAGAAACATTTTAAAGGAAGCACTTCCTTAATTATAATGCTCATTTCTTTTTTTTTTTTAACCTGGATAAAAAAAATATTTGCATACTCACTAAGGGTCTTATCCACAAGAAACTGTCTCCATAAGATATTTCAGGGAACAGCTTTATTTGCTTAACCTATTTATATTTGCCATACATAACTGATATGGTCTGTCCATAGAAGTCAGTTAAGTGAAATAAATGAAGACAAAAACAGGAATATACCATTCTTTGATAACCAGAACATCAGTGCAAGATGGCTATGTAAGAATAAGTTATATTCTGATGTTACTGAGTTTTCAGAAGGTCTTTTGCACCCAAGTTTAAAACCGCCATTACTTGTTTAGAAAAATGTCTCATCTGCCCCAGAAAAGCTCCCATGGCTGCCAAGCATTTACCAGTATAGAAGCCACCCACCTTCCCTATCAGACCCTGAGCTCCCCCGTCAGTGCCTGGCACAGAGAAGACATCGTGCAAATTTATAGCCTTTAAAGTAACTGCAGCCAAACTCTTTTCACGTGGCACACTGCAGCCCAGGAAGCGAAACAGTCCTCCAAGCCAGAAACTGTGCCAGCCAGCCACTAGATTTCCTCAAAAGGTATGGAATGAAGCAACCAGATGGAGTCTAATTTAGCCATCATCTCTCACTGTGGCATGTGTTAGATACCCCGAGGCTCTAAAACAAAATAACCTGGGCCAGACAACAGGTTTGTGAATAAATCTGTGAAATCTAAACTTAACATCTTATTAGATCTCTGAAACCAAACACTGAACAAAGAACACAGAGAGTATCTTTACATTTGAGAGACACATTGTTTCAAGTATGGAAGAATCAAAACTACCCTGGGAAAGAAAACAGGGGCCGAAACTTACCACTACTAATATCCAAGAGGCTCCTGGGTCAAGACTATTCGATCAACAAATATTTACTGATTTAAAAATCCCGGGAACGATAAGGAAGGGGCGTGAAATTAGGGAAACAAAAGCAGGACCTTGTAATGGGCCACTAGGGAGGTGTGCGCAGCGGCTCTGGAGTACCCCCCCGAGCGAGGAGGTGTCAGATAAAACCCAACAGCCCCGAAGAGCAAGTAGGGCGGGGTCGAGGGATGTGGGCTGGGAGGAGGAAACAGGCACCTACGCAGGAAGAGGGAGGGGAGAGAGGGGGTGCGCCTAACTTGGTCCCCGGGAGTAAAGCCCTCTCCCCAAGGGCTGCCTTCCAACCCTCTCTCCAGAGAGGGTCTGACCAGCGTCCCCCGGACCCCGCAGAGCCGGAAGTGTTCCACCCCTCTCTCCAGAGAGGGTCTGACCAGCGTCCCCCGGACCCCGCAGAGCCCAGATGTGTCTCGCGCCGAACCCTCAAAGAGCGCCGCAGACCCACCGCGGAGGGCGCGGGGCCCTGGGCAGGCGGCTACGGGACCCCTGGGCGGGTCTTGGGAGAAAGGCACGGAGAGCGGACACTCCGCGGCGCAGGCACGCGGCCGGGCCCAGGTGGCAACGGAGAGCTCACAGGTAGTAGCGGGGCTCCCCGGGGTCACCCCAAGGCGGGTGCAACCCCGGCTGTGCGGGAGAGCCGGGGTCTCAAGGCCCCGACGCGCGACCGCAGCCTTGGCTCCTACTCCAGGCCCAGACCCCTCACCTGCTCGAAGTGGAGGTGGCCAGCAACCGGCTGCCGCCCCGCACCACCAGCTCATGCCCGCACAGCGCCAGCCCTGCAAAGCCCGCCATGTACCCGCCCGCCGCGCAGCCACCCACGTGCGCCGCCTAGCGCTTCTTCCTGCCAGCGCCGAAAAGTGACGTCAGACGTAGACGCCGCGAGAAGACGTCATCCGGGCTGGCCCCGCGAACGCGCCAGCCCCGGGCATGCGCAGAAGGTGCATTATCCCTAAAACTCGCAAGCTGGCCTTCGCGCCTCTGCTGGCTTGGGGTCGGTTGCTGATCGCGTTTGTCCGGATGGAATACACTTGCGTGTTTAGTGTTCGTCTCTTCCTCCAGACTGCATAGGGCCAGTTCTGGATCTTTCTCACGCTGTGGCCGGGCGACTTGGCCGTCCTGCTACCTACTTGGTCCTTCAAAAAGTGAGAGGGTCTGAGTTTGCCTCCAGGTCGAGGACACGGTGTCTGAGGTGGGCTCAGAGCTGAGGGAAGATAAGCCAGACGCGCCCGAAACGCAAAGCCTCTGAACTGCTATTTTTCAACCCAAGATAGGGCTCTTTTTCTGTGTTCTTATGCTCATGGAGTGGGTCACCAGGCATCAGTTATGCGGGATGATTTCTCGGGACTCTCCGCCCCCATATTCCACACTGTTCATCTAATCTCATAAATCCTCCCGGACGCCCCTTCTCTCCAGCTCCGTGGCCTCCGCCACGACACAGCCCACAGGAGTCCCGCTGCTCACTGGTGTCACATCCGCCCTTGTCTCCCCGCCACCCCGACCCCATGCAGTTTCCACACTGAAGCCAGAGGGACCTCTTCAGAACACAGTTCCAATTCCCTGCTTAAAATCAACAAGTGGCTTCTCACTGTTCTCAGTAAGGAAACCAAATCCTAATCTTCCACTATGAGACCAAGTGTGGTCTGCCTCCTAACGATTCTGCAGCCTCCTTCCCTACCAGGCCCGCTTCAGTCGCAGTGCACTAGCCGTGACTACCCTTCCATTCACTGGAACAATGGTTCTACTAACCACAGGACCTTAGCGCATGCTATTCTTTCCACCTGAAATGTTCTCCCCACACCCTGTCTATGTCCCTAGTTAATTCCAGTCACCCAGTTTCATCACAGTGGAGTCATCACTTAATCAGGGAAGCCTCTCCTGACTTTCCATTATTTGCAACCACAGCGCCATGATAACTTGTTTAATGTCTGTCTCCAGACTACAAATGCCATGAAGGCAGGGACTGATGCCTACTAAATTGGCAAGTCACTGATCGATGCCCCAGCTTGCACCACAAAACCTGGCATGAAGTCAGTGCTCAATATTTGCTAAGTAAATAAATGGAACAATTGGCGGTCTTAAAAGATCAGCTATTTTTGCATAAGAGGAATTATGATAGTCATGAGGCATGGAAACTCTGCCTGACTCAAACCCCACCTCCAGTTTGATTCAAGGATGAATTTACACCCAGACTTAAAGCAGAATGCTTGGGAGACTTCCCTGGTGGTCCAGTGGTTAAGAATCAGCCTTCCAACGCAGGGGACTCAGATTCGATCCCTGGTCGGGAAACTAAGATCCCACGTGCCGCGGAGCAACTAAGCCTGTGCGCCACAACTACTGAGCCTACATGCCACAATGAGGAGCCCACGCGCTGCAGTGGAGGAGCCAACATGCCTCAATGGAGGATACCCCGTGCCGCAACAAAGATCCCAAGGAAGAACCCACGTGCCGCAGCTAAGACCCGCAGCCAAAAATAAAAAAATATTAAAAAAAAAAAAAAGCAGAATGCTTGGGAAAAGCTGGGCTTCCTTTAAGGCAATGAGGTAAAAGGGGCTTTCATGGAGGCAGAAGATGGAAGAGAGTCTGTGTCACAGAACAGAGAACGCAGAGGGCTGGGGGCGGGGGGTTGGGGGGTGGGGAGAAGGGGCAGGAGCTAAGCCGGAGACTCACGTGAGATCATTGCAAGGGAGCTTCCAAGGAGGGATTGACGCTGGGCAGAAAGCGGGGGTGGGGGGGCAGGAGCTAAGCCGGAGACTCACGTGAGATCATTGCAAGGGAGCTTCCAAGGAGGGATTGACGCTGGGCAGAAAGCAGAGGAAGCAGGAGGCTCCACAGTGTTTCTGAAGGTGAATGGACTATAAACATCATTTCTATTCAGCTAACCTAGCTAGTACAGTGAAAGTCCATACTCACGGTCTGGGGTATTTTTCAGGCCCGCAGGTGAATTTACAGTTTCTCTTCTGGGTGGGATAACAATACTAAGACCACAGAGATCCTAGAAAGGTGCAGCCAGCCATCAGCAGGCTTGCAGGCAAATTTAACTTTCTTTACAATCGTGGTTTACATCGTTTTAAATGTTCTGTAACACACATTCTAACAGATACAATTAACTGTAATGTGCGTATTTAAACTGACCTTGGGGCTTCCCTGGTGGCGCAGTGGTTGAGAGTCTGCCTGCCGATGCAAGGGACGCGGGTTCGTGCCCCGGGCCGGGAAGATCCCACATGCCGCGGAGCAGCTGGGCCCGTGAGCCATGGCCGCTGAGCCTGCGCGTCCCGCGTACCGCAAACAAACAAACGCTAAACTGACCTTGAAGCTTCACTACTTTCATGTTATAGGTTACAACCTTGAGAAATAACTACAATTTTTTTGGAGTTGCACTATTCCTCTTAAGTCTTTATTATTTGTTATTTGGAGGAAAAATAATAAAGACTTAAGAGGAATCCTGCATTGTATCAAAAGACACAGAGCAGGTATAAATGAAAACTTAAAGATCTGTACTTGACCATCAGATGTAAACAAAACTTAAGCATTTTGAAGTTTTTGAGTTGATAAATCACTTGCCTCATACTTTGAATTCTTATAGTACTTGTGCCAACAAGACTTATTTTCCTCAAGATTTTTTTCATCAAATTTCATGATAACATCTACCTTTTAAATTTTAATCAAATCTAATTGAAGGGGCTTCCCTGGTGGCGCAGGGGTTAAGACTCTGCCTGCCAATACAGGGTACACGGGTTTGAGCCCTGGTCCGGGACAATCCCACCTGCCGCAGAGCAGCTAAGCCCGAGAGCCACAACTACTGAGCCCACGCACCTAGAGCCTGTGCTCCACAAAAAGAGAAGCCCCCATGCACCGCAACGAAGAGTAGCCCCCGCTCGTGGCAACTAGACAAAGCCTGCGCGCGGCAGCGAAGACCCAATGCAGCCCAAAATCAATCCATCAATCAATTAATTTTTTAAAAAGTTAAGAGAATAGATCTTGAAAGTCCTCATCACAAGAAAATAAAGTTTGCAACTATGTGTGGTAATGAATGTTACCTAGACTTACTGTGGTCATGATTTCACAATGTATACAAATACTGAATCATTATGTTGTACACCTGGAACTAATACACTGTTATATGTCAACTATATCTCAATAAAAAATAAAATAAAAATTTTACGGAAAAGAGAAGAAAAAAATGCTACATATATATATATATATATATATACATAGATATATACATATATATATGTATATATATAATTCAGCCATAAAAAAGAAGTAAATCCTGCCACTGCACCATTGCAACAACATGGATGAACCTAGAGGACATGATTCTGTGTGAAATAAGACAGGCAGAAAAAGATGAATACTGTATAATCTTATTTATATGTGGAATAATAAAACCAGACTCATAGAAACAGAGCAGATTGGCAGTTGGCACGGACAGCGTTTGGAGTGGGGAATCAGGGGAAAATGGGTGAAGGTGGTCAAAGGCTACAAACCTCCAGTTATAAGATGAATAAATACCGGGCATGTAATGTACAACATGGTGACCATAGTTAGGAATATTGGATTGTATACTGGAAATTTAATAGAGTAGATCTTAAAAGTTCTCACCACACACACACAAATTATACCTATGTGAGGCGAGGGGAGTGTTAACTAACCTTACTGTGGTAATAATTTGCAATATATACACTTGACCCTTGACCAACTCAGGGGTTAGGGGCGCCAACCCCCTGTGCAGTCGAAATGCATGTACCGCTATCTCTGCCTCAAAGGGCAGGAAGCTGACGCAGTTTGTTCCGAATCAGGACTCAAACCCCAATTCTTTTGATTCCGCATATTGTGAATGCTAACGGAACACAAACTTTTCCCTACTACAGTTAATTTAAAAGATCTGTAAAGGAAAATACAGGTACTATATTTATTGGAAAAAATACAGGTATAAGTGGACCCATGCAGTTCAAACCCTGTTGTTCAAAGGTCAACTGTACATATGTCAAATCATTACATTATTCACCTTAAACTTACACAATGTTTTGTCAATTATATCTCTATAAAGCTTAACAATTTTTTCCATTAAAAAAATAAAGTCACTCATATTCTCCCATTTGGTGTGGTTTTGACATATGTTATGGGTTGAATTGTGTTTCCCCCAGATATACTGAAGATATATGGAAGCCCTAACCCCCAGGACCTCAGAATATGACCCTATTTGGAGAGAGGGTCTTTACAGAGGTAATCAAGTTATAATGAGGTCATTAGGGTGGGCCCTAATCCAATACAACCGGTGTCGTTATAATAGGGGGAAATTTAGATACACAGACATGCACAGAAGGAAGACTCAGTGAAGACACACAAGGAGTACACCTTGTGAAAACAGAGGCAGAGATGACTGATGCAGCAGAAACCCAGGGACAGCAAGGACTGCAGGCCACCACAGCTAGGAAGAGGCAAGGAAAGATTCTACCCAGGATCTCAGGGGGCACGTGGCCCTGCTGACATCTTGATTTAGGACTCCAACCTCCAGGAAAAACTGTGAGACAATAAATTTCTGTTGTTTTAAGCCACCCAGTTTGTGGTCCTTTGTTACAGCAGCCCTCGCAGGCTACTACGACACATATTTTCATCTTGAGGACACTAGTATTATAACAACTAAGTTCTTAGTGGCAGCACTCAGCTTCTCGCTTAGTTGGTAGCGACCTTTGTCCATCAGAGGCTTGGAAAGTCTCCAGTAACAGCCACTTGGTGAGGTGGGAGAAACATGAAAGCAGATCTTCCAAGCTGGATGCAAGTTTTATCCCGGTT